ATATTCTATCTTGGCAAAAGTTCTCAATCTATAAAACAATAGATTAATATAAGTTTGGAAGACAAAAATAAATGAGTCGAATTTTTTTAATGGAACACAAAATTTCTCAAAATCTTAACAGATATAGGTTTATTCAGCAAGCGGTAAAAGTGACGTTACTTTGGCTGTAAATATTTAACTGACATTTACTATTAATAAAACGAATAAAAGGTGGTTTCAACATTCTGTCTGTGAAAAAAAAGATCACCCAATATTAGGCAATGTCTTTAAAATAAGCAATAAATGACTTTTAGGAACATTTATTACATATTAATCTAGTGCATCAGCACAATTTCGAAAATTCAGTCTTAACTAGTCCTAATATAAATCCTAATATAAATAATAAATATAAAGTTGTAGAATGACCTGTATCTACATATTAGAATATATTTTTTAATAAACATTTATTGAGTAAAATATTGTCAGATTGTCACGGTGCCAGGTTGTTAGGATGCCTGCCAGGTTGGCAGGATGCCAGGCTATCCTAATAATTATTTTTTATAAATAAGAGCTCGCCCTTCTTGTATTTGCATACATACCCTTCGCGATATTTTCGCTTTCGCCGTTTTAACATTTTATATTTATAATTTCGTTTATTTTTTAATTTCCGATTTTTGTTAGTTTTAATTGGCATTTATTTATTGACATTGCGAAAGTATAGAGCGCCGATGTTGAGGCAAAACTGATTAATTTGATATTATTAATAAATTTAGCGTCAACATTTATTCCATTTTACTCAATAAAAACCTTTTGCTTACATTAAGAATTGTTTATAACTGAATACAACAGTATTTTGAATTTCCACTATCGTACAATAATTATTAAAAATTGGTATGATCAACCGTTTCAGAATAGTACATACTTAATCAATTGTCTTTATACTCCTGGAAACCTTTTTTGTTTGATTTTTTTAACAATAACAATAATATAACCCCTTCCAATTAACCTGTCTATAGAACAAACATTGTTTTCTTTATTGTTTTCAAAAAAATAAAAAAAAGGTATTACATTTTTAATGATATCAAGTGTTCATTTAAATTTTGTCAATAAAATTAACCCATTTAGAGGCCTGCATAAGCTTGGCTTGCGCCGAGCCCGAAACATATCAAACCCCGATCCGGGTCTTTTAGTTTTTGCAAAGAGTTCAACCAGGACCCTGTCCAATGCAGGCATTGCTAGTTATAGATGGTAAGTTTGAAATGCGGATGATATGGGATCTTTGCAAAGGGGAAGAATGTCGGGAAATATAAAAAAAAATGAGTTAATTGCTAATTTTGATACTTCCGACCTGAAAATCAATTTTTGCATAAAAGTATTGATTTTTCCAGCAGTCCCCCCTCCCCTTATTGCGCTTTTTTTTTTAAAAAAAAAAAAAAAAAAAAAAAACGCGACAATTAATGGCAAGTTGCAACACATTTAAACTCTAAATTCAATCTTAATAATGGTTATTACACAAACCTGCATAGTTATGTATGTATAATATGGCATGATTTTTTTTTAATCATTTATAATATTATTAGAAACCATACAGGTATGAATTATTTGGTATGAAAATCAAACGTCATACTGTACATAAAAAAAAAAAGGATCAGGACCCGATAAATTTTTAATAAGTAAAAATTTGAAAGAGAGAAATTAATTGGTACTTGCGTAATTTTAATTGAGTAATTTCAGCAAAGAACCCGAGTTTAATGTTTTGCGCGCGCCCACATTTTGAATGTAAAAAAAAATTTCACTTTGAAAGATCTCTATATTTGGTTAATTTCCGCACAGTTACTTTGAGGAATTCAATTTTTGGTTACCTTTGAAAGATCGCTATATTTGGTTAATCTCTTTCCGCTTTGGCTACTTTTGAGATCTCAACTATTAATCGTTATCGCAGTTTCTTTGAAATCAGCTTAATGCATCTTTCTTTGAAAGGTTTGAGGAAATTCATTGATAAAAATATTAACTGAAACGATTTGAGATGAAAAAAAAAACGTCTCATTGCTTTTTAGGGCAATTCATTGTAATTTGTCCAGGACGTTTTAATTTTTTTTTTTTTTTGCCTTGACGGAATCAAAATATAACGTCCAAGATGTTATTTAAAAACAAAAAATTTGGTTTCCATTTTTTTTTTTTTTTTTTTTTTTTTTTTTTGAAAATAAAACTCATCCAAAGGAAAACAAAAATAAAAAAATTATTATTTTATTAAAATCCTGACAAAACGAAGCATTAATATTATTTTTGTTTTTTGCAAATTAATTTTATTAAATCCATAAGATGTCTTCCTCAGTTCCAAACGAATGTTTATCCATGATTCTCGAGTTTCTCGATCCAAAAGATTTACGATCCTGCATATTGGTGGATCGTCTTTGGTTCGAAATATCAGTGCGTTTTCTTTGGATCAAAATTTATAATCACAGAACCTTCCTCGCCTGCCTTCCAATTGAATCGAAACGAATGTTAAGAGAGAATGGAATCACCTTTCGACCCCCAACTTCAAACCCTTTATTATTTAATTACGTTAAATTCATCAAAGAAATCAATGAAAAGACAATTCTTCTGGGATATCCCAAAATACTTCAACAACAATTTTCCGCAAACCAAAAAATGTTAATAGCACAAGAATCCTTTAAATTGATAATGAAGCATGCTTCGTTGAAGACTTTATCTGTTCAAAATGGTGTTCCTTTCTTGGAACCCAATGTACCATACATTACCTTTCCTGGAGCAGACGTTTGCCTTCAGAAACTTTGCGAATTTTTTGGTGATTCATCTATAAAATCGGAATATTGTTCCCGACTGGCCGATTTTTGTAAAGGCATACAAAAGTTCAACTTGCAACTTGACGAGGATGTTAATGAAGGATTGAATAAATTGATTTCCGTTCAACGAAATCTTAAGGATTTAGAAATCCTTTTTAATAAAAGATGTACGAATTTCGGTCCCCCTTTAATGAATATTGCAAATTCACTAATTAAATTGAACATTAATGGGTGCTTGTATTGTCCAAATTTCTCATTCATAAACAGTTTCACCAAATTGCGAGAACTCACCATATCACTTAGCATGGATCATGAGAATTTAAAACCGTTGCAAGATGTGACACTTCCACAATTAAAAATTTTATCATTTCAATACGCGAGATTACCTCGTGATTATTTATCAAAGTTCCTAGAAAATAATGGAAGGAATTTAGATGAACTTTCCTGTGATTATTCGTTGAATTTGGACGTAGCCAAGTTCTGCCCAAACTTAAAAATTTTAAAATCAATATTCTCAAAAGAAGATGATTTGAAGGCAATTCTTAATAATTGTCAGGAATTAAAAACTCTTGAAGTGCACTGTTGCGAACTGTTCCTTGATGAAAGCAAAATTTTGGTAAATCTTGCAAAGTTTACCCCAAGGAACTTATCAGAGTTAATCATCACTAAATCCTCAGATGATAATAATAATGAAAAACTTTTTTCTAATTTATTGAAGGATTTAAGTTGGGGGGAGGAACAACATACGCCCATCTCAATAATTATCAGAGGAGACAAATTAAATATCAAAGAACAAAATAAGCAAATTATAGAAAATTATATATCGCTGGGACATATAAAAAGTTATAAACTCGCTATTACCTAGCGTTATATATATGTGTATATTTTTGATACATAATACGAAATGAAAATTTAAAGGTAAAAATCTTTATTTATTTTTTAAAACTTTAACAGCTATTTGAATAATAAAAAAAAAAAAAAACTTTACGAAAGTAAAATGTGATAAATAATTTATTATATCTTAAAATAAAACAAAAACTAAAGATCATAATAATTTAATAATTTTGAATATTCCAGATTGTTTTTTCATTGTACTATTCGAATGCTTTTTTTATCCAATTACAAGGCAGGAAGGAAATAAAATCAATTGGATATAAAGAATCATCTTTGGGGCTATAAACTATACTCTTTATTTTAAATTGAAAGCCGAAAATAATTTAATTTTAAAAAATTAATAAGGATCGTTCACCATATTTTTTTGACCACATCGTTCTCACATGGAACAGTGACTCAAATGACTGGTCATGTGTCATTTGGGTCATTTCAACATTAAATGATGACCTGGTCATTTAAAAATTAATCATGTGATCTCAATAATTCTGGCCAAAATAATTAAATATTTCACGTGATATAAATTTGTAATTCTGACCAGCATATAAAATTTGGCCTGTATTACATTTAAATGACCAAATGAATAAATTAATAAGAGTACCATTCTTCCATCAAATTTTGATTTATTTCAACCGAAGAATGCAGACATGATAATATTGATAATAGCGTATGTACAGTGAAAAGAACTTTACATAGAAATAGTTTATCTTCTAGAATAAAGAGAAAAAACTTATCTTAAAAAACTCATCCAAGTTTACGGTTAGATTTTGCAAAAAAAATATATATTAGATGGACAATTGAAAATTGGAGTCGCAATTCATGATTTTAGGGCCTGAAGTTGTTTGGAAACAGCCAGAAGAACAGCTTCAGGATTAGTAGCATATTAAACCTACAATTGAATTTTGAGATGGTATGTGGGTATTTTCCTCTATTTGTGTTGGAGAACTATATCGACAAATATTAAATGAGGACCTTATGATTTAACTTAAACAATTTAGCAATTATTTCTCTTCTCAAATTATATCGATAATAAAAAGAAAAGATAAGTAAAAGATGGACGATGATTTTGTGATACAAATTATGCCCCGCATCATAAAATTGGTGTATCTTAAATAATAAATACAGCAATTTATAATGAAAACAAAAATTTATATATATATGGAAAAAAATTTTAGGGGAAAACTTTATGATAGGTGAAATTTCAATTTAGAAATTTATCTTGTCGATTTATAAATCAAAAGATTATTCCTATTAAATTTTTTATAAAAGCATATAATTATATGACTCTGACATAATTGAATTTTTCATTTCTTAGGATAAAAGATGGACAATGAAATGAAAAGCTTGGTTCATAATAATGTAGGTTCAAATGCATAATATGATTTTGAATTTTTGAATTAATGAAACATATTAATATTTACCTTTGAATGAAATAAAAGGCGAATGTGTACGGCGGCTCAACATCGAATCAAAATAATAGACCTCATCGTGTCGTAGCTTTGGATATTTTTCGTGGATTATTAATGGTCTTGCAATCCTTAGATCGTGCGTATGACGTATAATTGTTATTGTGTACAATCATTATTCTTTACAATATTTCTTTTTGATAGATGCAAGAGGAATTTTAGTGAATATAAAAGGTCAACAGGGTACGATAAAGATTTTCGTTTTCAATGCTAGATGATATCTTAGGTATTCTAATTACTGCGTCACTTAAATATATTAGCGCACGAAACTTGGTATCAACAGCCCGTATTTGAAGAGTTAGTTCCATCAATAACAAGATTGGTGACTCATTTGGCGGCACCGGGATTTACCTTTCTTATGGGATTTGGTATAATTTTATTTTCGAAATCTCGTATAAGAGTTGGATGGAATGTAGATCAATTATTATACCATTATCTCATAAGAGGTTTCATTTTGATTATATTAAATTCCTATTTTTACTACCTTCTTGCATTTAAATATCCTACAACGGTATTATTTGCGTTAGGGGTGAATTTAATATTTGGAGGATTAATAATTTTGGCAGAAATGAAGTTATTTCTCTTCTTTATAAAATTTTATCAAACAGCTGATCTGGAGATTGCGATAAATAAAGCAAAGTACGCGAGAAATGTGTTCCTACTGATATTAGTAAGTTTATTAGCCATCGGAAATGTCGTTCAAACTCCAAAATCCACAGATTATGAAGTGGTGGATTTTGGTTGGTGGAGATACATCTGGTTATTGCCAGGTAATTGTGAATTATATATAATTAATATTGTTCCATTAACAAATCTTTTTAATATCTTCATTACGATTCATTTCATTGTTTCAATAGGATATTACAAAAATTTATATTCTATCTATCCACCTTTAAATTGGCTATCTATCACAATTTACGGAATTATTTATGGCTATATCACTATAGAACGAGTACGGAATGAAAAGTTTAATAGAAATCTCAATTTGGTAATTATTATACAGTGATTTACTCACTCGTCTTTCGGAGTGTATTGTACATTGAATGTCCGAGTTAATTTTTTTTTATTTCTTTAAAAAAATCGGAATCTTCCTTTTAACGCTCTTCATAGCAATCAGAATTCCTGGTAAATTTGGAAATATAAATCCGGATCTACTTCCATCACCACCACCAGGAACCTTGTTTGACAATCCTTATCTAACGTCCGTATTACAATTTGTGAATGCGATTAAATATCCCCCGGATTTATCATTCATTACATTGTATATGGGATTAAATCATTTAATACTTGCATTCTTTTATGCAATACCTTCATTCAACTCAAATTATCTTATAGTTGCTATCAATAATGGTCCATTATTAGCTTTTGGTCAAAGTGCTTTATTTTTTTACATGGCACATTTTCATATCTATATTTTCATGTCTTTAACCATGTTTGGAATTACTAGTGAATCAAAGTTTAACATTGATTCTTGGCAATTTTGGTTTTGGTGGATTTTTGGGTTAGCATTATTATGGCCCATGTGCGTTAAATATGCTAAATTCAAAAGCAATAAAGGCCCGATTCGTTGTGGAGGTTCTTTTAAATTCAAAATTTGATAATTGACCAGTTGTCCATGGACGTGGTCGGGCTAACAGACTTACAAAACATTTTCGTAATCTCGTATAAGAACTTGTCGAACATAAAATCATTTTAAAGTTATATAATATGTATATATATATATATATATATACAGTACACAAATTTTTTTTAAATTGTCCAACATTAATAATTTAAACCTTAAAGTTAGAAAATATTATAATTTCGATTTAATGTTAATTTATATTGGAGAGATTAATAAGATATTGTTGGATAATTTTCATCCATAAAACAATAGAGTATCTTTTGGCAGACGGAGGAAAAAACTTAGGTCATGGTCGGTAATGTTGTGACATCTAACCCCAACTTCTTGCAAACACTGCTACACTTATGATTTGCAAGGAAACAATCCTCGATTCCCCTCTTCCCCAGATTAGTTCTCCCGAACCGTAAGGAATCAGTACATTGTATAGCCGGATCTGTCAGTAAGAACTGATCCGAGAATTCGGCCCCTTGTAGATCATAAACCAATAAAAATCCCTCGGTGTAATCATACGTGAAATGGGCGAACGCTTCAAGGGTGGAATGAAATTCGGTAATGATACCACTGTTCACGTTGAATCGTTTATACTTTGCATTTCGAAGATTAGGCTCTATGGTATAATACTGTTTTTTAAATCCGGTGGTAGTACTACGCAAGAGTTTCGCCTGAAGAAATTTCACCTTTTTGTTGATTCCGACCCGTTTTGCTTCGATATTGAATTGTTTGGAAAGGAAATGTGCGATGGCAGAGACTTCCACTGCCTCAAGATACCGTTCAACCGAGTTCGCCTTTCGTCCAATCTCAAGGTATTCTTTTATCACCACTTTCTCAGCTGGTACGCGCTTGACGTCTAGGGCAAAATATGCATATCGTTCCGCACCAACGGAGAATGGCTTTGGGGCCAGCTTGAAAGAGAGATTTTGGAGATCAGCATTTGATTTTTGAAAATATTCCTTGTTCATGATGTCGTCAAGTGTTTTAGGGAGACGATATCGCAAAACTGCTCCAGTTTGCTCCTCAATCGTATCCCAATCGGGTTCTTCCGTGTCTATTTCAAGCTCTTTCCGTCGTAGTGAGTATACGTCATTTCCCAAAGTAGCGGTTAATGAAACGGAGGAAGTGATCGTCAAACAGGTGGCTTGAAAATATTTGGAAATTAATTCCACGGAATCAAAATCAAACACTTGAATCTCGCCAATTATATCACGGAATATGCTAAGCATCTCATCGGTATGATGTGTGATTTTCCCGAAAAAGTAAAGAATGTTTGAAGATTGCATTTTTTCCAGCACGCTTTCCGCAGTTAGGCCGTTCGGGTCGCCTTCCGGATAACTATCATACATGGTGGTGAATTGACGACCGTGCGGAGGATAATCACCGATGTGAAAAATGACGCGAGTAGTATGAAGCCAGCTCATTTGAGTAATGGCCGCGTCAAGTCCACCTAGGACGTCTTCTGGACCATCACCTCCACCTTTGGCTGATACCTTCTCGGATATGTTGTTTCTGAATTGATCGTATGAGTTTGTGAAATCGAAAATCTGAAGTTTGTCATCGCCATCGCAGTGATCACGATAGCCGCAAAAGCCAACACGAATTTTAATACTCGGATTCGTACGTTCCATGTAGCTTACTACCTGTAAGATGCAATCCTTGGCAGCGGCAATGTGCCTATACATAGAACCGGTACAATCCAAGACGTAACAAAGGTCAACATTCATTGCGGATTTGATCCTTTTAAGCATTGATGATATAGCCTTTTCTCGTAATGATTTAGTATGAGATTCTAATGTTTTATCACTCATAAAGCGTGCATCACCCGCCTCCGCGGCATAACGTTCGAGACGACCTTGGTCGATGTTCAGGTTGTCCATTTCGGAAATGAGTGACGAAGGGATAGAACTGGCATTTGTTGTGGCAGATGACCAACCAGAAGTTAGAGAACCGGGATCACAAGGTTCACTAGGCATATGCCCGTATTTTTCCATGTCAAACTCTGTGCCCATTTTGCTAAAAAAAATTAACTTTCCCGCCTTGTTTAATAGACACACTGAAAATGATAAATATTAGTGCGAGACTTCTTTTAACGATAGAATGTAATATTCCCAAAATCTTGGGGAAAGTAGTTTAAAAACGATCCTATTTATACCAAAATGGATTTACTAATTTGGAAACAAAAACAGAGATTAACCGAATTAGAAGTTGGAACCGGTTCTATTTCCGAAAACCGGTTTTAAATATTTTCAAAAATTTTGACCCAGTGTCGGCCCGAATTGAAACCGGTTTAAAAAACCGGGTTGAATCGATTTTAGATATATTTATTCGAATTATGTAAAATATCATCTAATTCCATTCTTCCTTAAAAAATTAACTTTTCATATTTTTAAAGCATATCAATGATCAAAATTACCTAATAATTTCTTTAGTAAACTGTGGTTAGTTCTAATTATCGGTAGTTGTAAGTTTTGTAATAGTTTCTGTATCAGAAAGTATAACCGAAGAAGTAGATAGGTTCGCCATAATGAGAAATAAAACATGAAAAAAGAAAAAGAGTGCTACATTAATTAGAAAAGTCAAAGATTTAGAAAACAAATTTAAACTACTCTCTAACATATTCACTGACATTAAGGAAGAAGTCCTAACTTAATGAAGAAATCAAGGAGACATTGATTATTATCTCACTAGACTTAAAATCTTTACAGAAATTCCAGACGAAGACGTTGAAATCTTTTTTTGTCAACTGCGTTACAATGACCTAAGGTTACTGGACGAAACTAGAATACACAAAAATGTTACATAAAATACTGAATATAAAATTTGTCACTAAATGGATCTTTATAAAAATTTTAATATAGGTTTTGCAAATCGTCTAAATGGAAAAGGTAAAATTTAGCGAAATTATATTAAATCTTTATTAAAAAATCTGCGAAATTCTGAAAAATGGTAAAATTATATCAAAGCTTATAAAAATGCGAAACTATATCAAAACCTTAGTAAAAATTTAGTGAAACTATAGTTTAGACGTTTTGCCAAATCTAAAATAAGTTTAGATAAGCAAACCTTACAATGACCAATAACTCTGACACATTGTATCAAATAACATCTCTGCTTAATTGAAGTTACACTTTTATGGTATATTTTATTTAGTTTATCCTAAATATTTAATAGCTGTTTTACCTTTTATTATAAAGTTAAATTAATAAAGTAATAATCGTTTATGTTGGAAATATTTGTAATTTACTTTAAAGGAAACAAATAAAATAATTATAATTGATTTAAGTTATTTAAGTTAATTGATCAAGCATTTAAATATATGCAATAGAAAAAGGAAAAAATCAATTTTACTTTATATGCAAAATATGGTTTTTAGGTCAAAATATGTTCCTTTTTTTATTGCAAAAGGTCCTATATTATTTTTATATTAATCAAATCTATTAATAAGGGTACTGTCAGATATTACCTAATATCTTAGGGGGTGGGGGAGATAAAGCAGATCTTAGGTTACACATAATATAATAATCACGTGATGTTAATATTAATCACATATGATCATTTGATAAAGTGGCTTGTTAAGCATATATTTATTATGGACTGATATAGCAATATAACAATACGCATACATTTAAATTTATTGCAACACACATACATTTAAACGCGTCTTTTATAAAACTTACTTATTTTTCATCTGAGTTATAAGCCTTAGTTCAAGTTCCATTTCATCATACGACCTCTTTTGTTAAGATAAGAAAAGAGAAAAATCATCAAAAATTGAGTTTTATTGTCTTTTAAGCTGTTCTCAGGTAGTAGGATGCATTAATCATTTATGATTCGTTAAGAATGTGAGTCAGAAAATATTTTTGACAAATAGGACAACAAAGTTGTAAGTATATATTTTTTCAATAGATGCACAATGTGCATCATAATCTGGTATTTTCAGGAGATCTCTATACTGAAGAAGATGAATCAGGTTTATAAATTGACTATCTTTAACTTTGGTAATTAGTAATAAGAAGCCATTATATAGATGAAGAAAGTCCATGACTTTTTTAGTTTTGGGTGATCTACAGCAATTGGCATTTATGCATCGTTTGATATCAAGAGAATAGATGTATAAATTACAGTGAGTTTTGATTTAAGACCATGAAATAAAACATTCAGAATAGGTATGTATTGTTTTTTTTTCTATATCATTTAATTTTTTTTGTTCTTTTTCTCTCCTTTTTAATTTTTTAACCTTTTTCTCTTTCCATTCTCTCAAACTATATATGCTCAAATGGATTCGTAAGTACATCGATATAACAAGCATCAACTTTCTTTCCAAAAATTAAATCATGATATCAAATTTCACAAAGGGCTTCTTCTGAATGGTGAAAATTTCAAGCAGCTAATTCTGGATTAATAACTTTTTCTTGTGTATTCAAATGCATATCAAAATGGTCAATTGGCAAGGTGATTTTAACGAACTTACCAAACAATATTGCCATACTTCTTTCAATTAGATTATACTTTAATTGACCTGAGACATGTGTTCTTATACTTAAAAAATTCAAATTAAACTTCTTGAAAAGCTGACAATAGGATTTTATATTTTTTAAATGTCTAGGATTCTCATCTAATCCTTCAATCACTAATAAAATCCATATTGGCTAAATTGTTCTATTCATCTTCAACACATTATCATATTGAAAATTTAAAGTAAAGCTTTTCAAGTCTTATATATATGTAAGCGAAGATGTGCTAAGAAATCATTGGAAATGTATAAAAATTGTTAATTTTCCTATTCGCAATTCGTTGTTAAATTCGTTTGGATTTATAATTAAATATACTGATGGGATTAATTTTTGTCTGAATCCTATAGGAAAATCATAGTCTGCTATGGTTGTAGGTTCATTAACAGATTATAATGTGCAGAATGTATAATCTACTGCAGGTACTCCAAATATAATCTTTACCTTGTCATCTTGGAAGATGACAACT